TTTGGTTTAATTCTACAGACTTGTAGAATTAAAATAAAAAAATGTTCACCGAATCTGCTTTTATGGTTGTCGAGATACCTTCAAAGTCTTAAAAAATTATTTTATTAGATGTTATAATTCTTTACCAAATTTGAACGAAGATATCTCGGCAACCATATAAGTAAATTCGATAAACATTTTTTTTTTAATTCTATAAGCTCATATAATTAAAATAAAAAGGTTTATCGAATTTTCTTTGATGGTTGTCAAGGTACCTTCGTTCAAAGTTTTAAAGAAACTTTAACTTTTAATGTCGATCATTTGCTGTGCCGATAACAGAGATAAGTCACGTGCATGCTGTGTCGTTATAATTCCCAATTTTTATTTTTATTATAAATACAGATCTGCCTAGTCACATGACCTAACAAACTAAAATTTTCCGCTCGATTTTAACAGCCAAGAAATTTAGTGACGATAAAGATAACTTTTTATTTATTAATAATAAAAAAAAAACAAAGTTCATAAAATTTTAAATTTTTAAAATAAAACCATACAATAAATATATATTATTCTATCAAACATACATGGAAATTCAAAATTACGTTAATAATAACGCTAAAATTTTTTAATTGATAAATCCTATCGTTATAATTTATCTATTTTTCTTTTAAGGATTTCAAGCCACTTGGAAGATGTCTTTGCAAATATTTGATTTCTGCTTCCATATCCTAGATTACATTTTAATTTTTAATTCAAATAATCAAATAATATAATAATATAATAATCTAAAGAATTTGAAAAAAAGTTTTTTTCTTACCTTACAATATTCGTCTAATGGAAGGTCGTTCTCATCGTACCCTAAATACAAGGCAAAAAATGTATTAAAACATAGTTCTTTCAAAATGAATTCACTAAGACATGTAAATTGCTTACCGAATGGATTTTCAATTTCGGTACCTATTATTTAAATTCAAAATATTATAAAATATATATGAATATATTATTGTAAAGTTATGGCAAAATTATTGTGAACCATTTTACATACCAACAGCCAAAATACCAAAGAAAATAAAAGAAATTAGAAGCATAGTAGGAATAGTAAACCAATCAAGATCAGAGACTATGGTGAACGGAAGAGCGAGCACTATAAAAAAGAAATGGCAATTAAAAACATGTATATAATTTAATCAATATAATGCGTATAAAATTTTATTCTTACTATATAGCATAACAGCTTGTTTCCTGTAAAAAATAATAAACGTTATGTAAATATGAATGTATTACCATATACAGTGTTGTACATGGACATATGTCCAAGCAAATTATTGGACATGGACAGTCCATGGACACAATGTCCAATGTCCATGTCCATGGACATGGACATATTTTTATATGTTCATGGATATGAACATCCATATTTTTATATGTCCATGTCCATGGACAGTCCATGGACATGTCCATGTCCATTGACAACACTGACCATATATCACCATATAACAATTTTTATACATATAAGTCCTTTAATACAGTATATTACTCCAGTTTGAAGTAATTTAGACATTTTTTGATTATACCATATGGTGATAAATAGACGATTTTCAAGTGTACAAAAATTATAAAGAAAACTTACAAATGAACATTATAGGCAGTTGGGAGAGGTGTACTTCCAATCCTTTCTAAATTACCCAAAACATCAATTAAAACATCCAAATTTCCCGACAGTAAACCAAATTTAGGTCCATCCAATTTTTTTTCTTTAGACATTTGTATAAAATATAAATGTAAATGAAAAACAATTTCCTAAATTTTCAACAAAAAAAATTTTTTTATTATTATTTAGAAAAACTCATAAGAATTTCAAGAATTTCAACAATTATAAACCATTTTAAAAGAAAATATTTTTACCAAAGGCAAACTCATGCTCGCATCTACTTCACTCAATTCATCAACTTGATACATTTTTTTCTTTTCTTCTTTTGAATAATGACTAATATGCCTTTTAAAAACAGTTGGTGGAATTTTGCTTGATATTGTTCGAATCGGTAATGCGTCAAGCAAAGATTTATTTTCAGAGTCTTGTGCTCCATCTTGTACTGCACTGCCATCATAATAAGTTTTTTGAAAACCTTCAGGAAGAAGATCTTGTAAATCAGGCCAATGAATTCCAAATTCAAATCGAATATGATGTTTAACAGCAATTACATATCCCAATAGTAATCTAATATATTCTTCTTTTTCGCGATGATCGTGATAATTATCTTCTTTAACGCTTATCCATAGAGTGCGTGTACAATTTCTGACAATAGTACTAAGTAAAATGCATATTTAAAATATATCAGCCCTTACTAAACATTAATACAAAATATTATCATTAATACTAACCACATCTGACTGAATAAACGTCGACCTTCATTATATTGATTATAAGAGTTGTTTGTACGGAAAGCTAAAAGAAGCGCCACTACAACAGAGACGGAAGCGGCTACATCATACGATTTAAAAAAATAAAAATAAAAATAAATAAAAATTAGATATCGATAAGTAAAGAAAATCACATGTTATATTCGAATCTTACTTAAATTAGCGGAAACAGCAATACTGGATATGCCGACTACCATATAAAGGACAACGACCAAAGTTGTCCATAAAGTTATAGAAACGAGTATAGGAATAATGTTCAAAAATACAGAGCCTTGAACTTCTAACGCATCAGGAAACCTATCGTACAGTAGGATAACGAACACGTTAAAAACATATCATGAACGATATATTCTGTTATACACGTATTTTACTAATTATAAATACCCCCAACCATGTCGCTTCGTTAAATACTCAATCCAGCCCTGACGAGCTCGTGGGTTTTTCATCTTAGGATCGACCGGCATTTTGACCTTTGTTGTTTAGTATAATCTAGTGCAAATTGCGTTTACAACTATTTGAGAGAAAAATATTCGTTAAAAAAAATTTTTTTTCTTCTTTCTTTTTTTTATTTTTTGTTTTTGTTTTTTTAATTGGACTATAATCGCAAGCATATATTTATAAATCTGTGTTATTATTATGAAAAAAGCCTTTTTGCTTATCTAAATAAATAAAGACAAACAATATCTCGATGCGCAGCAAATCAACAACTTTCTAAGCCGAATTTTTTATTATACAGTACAGCCCTTAACAAACTTTATATTATAGAGAATAAATTCGAAATATTGCTTTAAAAGTCATTAGTGGGAAAAAACTTAAACATCTCGATTATCGTAATTATTATTAGCGTTAGATTATTTGTATCTTTCTTTCTAAACAATTTTATAATGATTTTTTCTTTAAATTATCACGTTTTCAAAATAATAATAATAAATTGAGTAATTGTCAGTGATTGCAAGGCCAATAAACCTCGCAGTTATGATATTACGATTTTCAAACTGTTGCTTCAGAAAGAGAGTTATATAAAGATAAGTTGATATCAATGTCGATATCGCTGACCCAGATTTGTTTGAGTGCAAACCTGTAAATAAAACAACATGTAAATAGCATTATGTAAACACAGGATGATGATAGAGAAGTGACGTTATATTACTGTATCTATAGAAAATTCGAATGTAATAAGAGTGTGCCATTGTGATATAGCTAACAAGGTGCAGTTAAATTCGCCAACGTGATTACAACCTTTTTTATTTTTATTTTTTTATAATATATAACTGTAAGCTCTCCTTTTTTTATGATCACTCCTACAATGTAAACAAAATGTGTTTTGTTTATTGGTTCATTTGTATTGTAGCTATTCTCGTCAGTATCCCGATTGTCTTTATGGTTTGTGGTTTAGGTAGCGATCATTAATATTATGATTGCTTATTGTACGCAATCAACGACTATGGGTGTTCTCAAGCATCTCAATCAATTAATTAAATAATGATCATGGTAACGCTCAAGCATCACAATCAATTACACATTTATAATATTAAATGCTTGAGCGTACTCTTCCTATATTCCATAATTTCGCTAAGCCTCCTAAAAAACAAAACAATAATTTTATTCAACCAGCTGCACTGGCTCCACCTTTAAATGATTTTACTGATTTAAATTTTGTTGCAACAGTAAGAAGTAAATTTTTTAAAAAAAACTTTTTTTTATAGGCAATCTACAGTAATTTTGCAGTTGCTATTCGCACTGAGGTAGTACGGAAATATTTTCGAAAAGAGTTATAACCTTTATTACCCATTAAATATAGAAAAACATCTACCCAAAATCCTTCAGCTTTGGGTCGTCTTTGCTGAAAAATTTTAAAATAGCAGTATTCATTATATTCGATTAAAGGTTAAAGGATGGGTTGCATTTATTACAATTGTAACAAGGTATCGATTATTCGTTTTAAAAGCTTCGAACATTAAAATATAATAAATTTTTGAAAAAAAAGGATGGTTTGTATCTCGCTGATTTATTCATCGAAATGGTAACTCACTTGATTTATTCATTTTCCGACTAATTAAAATTTTACCTCTAATATCTATTTATTTATCATCAGGTCTGGTGATAATTGGTGAGTTTTGATAATTGAATCCGTGTGACATAAAATGATCGTTATTAATATTAATACTTTTTTTTAAAAAAAAAAATTTTTTTCTAACCGATATGTTGGTAAGACTTCGATCTCTCATATATTTCACTACGCTGACTTTAGCTGTTCTCAAGCATCTAAATCAATTGATCAGATAATAACCGTGATGACGCTCAAGCATCACAATTGATGACGATA